TTCTTTCCTAATGATTCTTGTCAGCTTGATGTTTCATCCGTTGTTGTGCCCGAGCAAGATTATGTTGGATATGTTCAATCATGGTGTTTCGAGATTTGATGAACTCATCTAGATCAGAAACAGAACATGTGTCAGTGGCAATAATGCCGAAATGCTTAGGAGGATATCCATAAAGGGCTTCAAAGGGAGTGAGACCATGAGTAGAATGGTAGGTGGTATTATACCAAAATTCTGCGAGTGGAATCCACTTAGCCCACTTTTGAGGACAAGAGTGAACCATGCAGCGAAGATAAGTTTCTAAGCACTGATTTAAACGCTCAGTTTGGCCGTCTATTTGAGGGTGATATGCCGAACTCATGGTAAGAGTGGTTTCTATGAGTTTAAACAGCTCTTGCCACAAGGCAATAGTGAAGATGCAGTCCCTATCCGAAATAATGACAAAGGGCATACCATGCAGCTTATAAACATGTGACAGGAAGATTTGGGCAATGGATTGGGCAGTGTATGGGTGAGATAGACACAAGAAATGACCATATTTTGTCAATTTGTCGATCACTACCAGAATGTGTCAATGTTTGGATTTGGGTAGACCTTCTATGAAATCCAGGCTTATGGTGTGCCAAGCATGGTTTGGGACAGGAAGGGGTTGGAGGAGGCTAGGTAATCTATAGTGTTTGGGTTTAGCCTGGGCACATACCTCGCAAGCATTGATATAGCCCTGGATAGATTTCTTCGGTTGAGGCTAGGCAAACAGAGCCTTGATCTTGTTATATGTGGCGGTGATGCCACTGTGGCCACCCAATCCACTAGAATGGAGAGCTAGAAGAATAGCTTGATGTGCTTCAGTATGATTTCCCAACCAAATTATGTTCTTATATTTGATGATGCCATCAGTTAAGGTGAATCCCTTATCATTGGAACCTGTGAGGCTGAGCTCTATCAAAAGTCATTTGGCATCATGATCTTTGGTGTAACCTTCTATGATGATTTCTAGCCACTTTGGTGTACTCGACGATATGGCTTGTAACTACAGAGGTTCAGGCTATCGTGACAATGCATCAGCAGCTTTATTTTCCAAACCTTTCTTGTACTGTATCTTGTACTGGAGATCTAGTAATTTGACAAAAGCCTTCTGTTGCATTCCCTCATGTAATTTTTGCTCACCCAAATGAACTAGGCTCTTGTGGTCTGTGAGAATTGTAAACTCCTTATGCTGCAAATAAGGTTTCCATTTGGTGACAGCCAGAATCATAGCCATACATTCTTTTTCATAAGTCGATAGAGCTTGTTCCTTAGGCCCTAAAGCTTTGCTGATATAAGCGACTGAATGATGTTCCTAAGAGAACACTGCACCTATGCCAGTTGAGGAAGCATCAATCTCGATTGTGAACGATTTATGGAAGTCCGGCAGCACTAACACTGGTGCAGATATGAGGGCGTGCTTCAAGGTATCAAAACTGAGTTGAAGCTGTGGAGTCTAGTGAAACAATGTATCCTTCTTGAGGAGATCGGAGAGTGGCCGACTTAAAAGCCCATAGTTCTTGATAAATTTCCTATAGTTACCGGATAGTCCAAGGAATCCCCTAAGTTGTTTCACATCAGTTGGTGGAGTCCAGTTGGCCATGGCCTCAATTTTCTTAGGGTCTATAGACACCCCCTGATGGTTGATAATGTGGCCCAAGTATTCCAGGGTTTGTTGAGCAAACGAGCACTTAGAGCGCTTTAACAACAATTGATGTTCCTCTAGTATCTTGAAAACTTGCTATAAATGCTCAAGAAGGGTTGACAATGTTGGGCTATAGATTAGAATATCATCAACAAATACAAGGACACATTGGCGCAGAAGAGGTTTGAAGATTGTATTCATCAACGCATGAAACGTGACAGGAGCGTTGGTTAGCCCAAAGGGCATTACTCGGAACTCCTAGTGACCGTTATGTGTGTGGAATGTTGTTTTAGCTTTGTCAGCAGGCAACAATCTGATTTAATGGTAACTCAAACGCATATCAAGCTTAGTAAACCAGGCAGCTCCATGTTTCATCCAGTAACTCATCGACTACTAGGAGCAGGTACTTGTTCTTCATGGTAATGTTGTTCAATTATCTGTAATCGACACACAAACGCTAGATGTCGCCTTTCTTCTTCACTAGGAGCATTGAAGAGGCATATGGGCTCTGACTAGGTCGGATAATACCGTTAGTCAACATTTCCTAAATCTGACGCTCAATTTTGTCTTTCTGCGTTAGGAGCATAGCGATATGGCTTGACATTCACTGGTTTCACGCCCGGGAGGAGAGGAATGTTGTGATCAAACTCCTATTGGGGTGGTAGAGAGTCAGGTTCCTTAAAGAGATTATCATGCTGTTCTACAAGTTGCTGGACTAAATCTGGTATAGTATCCTCCGGTTGGGTTGGTTGAACCTGACACAAATGGATCAGTTGAGTGACCCCTCCTTTCCGAAGCAGACCTTTTAGTTTTCTTTCTTTGACTTTAGGACAAGCTGACAAGCTATCCTTGATGCCTTTGAGACTGATCCGTTTGCCCTCATGACTAAATCACAAAAGTTTCCGTTTTCAATGGATCCACATGGGACTATATTGTTCCAACCAATCCATGCCCAGAACTAGGTCATAGTATGGCAAAGGTAAGACCCAAGCAGTAGTTGTGAAAGTGTTGCCCTGAGACCACCAGGTGAAGTTCAGAACATGCTGATTGCTCTGAAGTTTGTCCCCACTTGCCACTATGACCTGTATGGTTGGGGCTGGAGTGATACTATAGTGTAACCTTTGAGCAGTCTTCTCGCTAATAAAGGAACTGGAGCTGCCATAATCAATAAGAATAAGAATCTCTTGACTGTTGACAATGATGTGAAGTTTCATAGTTTTCTTGCCTTGAACCCCTACTGCAGCAGACTGTGAGAGAGAGAAAACTGCCTCATCCTCGTCACTGGAATCGGGAGTGTCCTGTTCAGGTGGACATTTAGTGGTGACCAATTCCATAAACTCTTCGAGGACATGTAAAGAAACCTTGTCTGGACACTTGTGGTTCCTGCCCCATTTCTCACCACACTTCATGCACAATCCCTGGGCACGACGTTAAGCTCTGAGGTTAGCTAACTTAACCTCCCACTTAGGTTTGGCCTCTTCAGGAGGTGGATTTCCCAGAATACCAGGTTGAGTAACAATTGTTGGCTTGGCATTGTACTTGTTGAAATCCTGATGGTGGCGTCGGTTGTAAGTCTTGGACTGACTGTCCAACACCTCAGCCTGCATAAGTGCCAAAGAGAGTGCGAGATCAACTATTCTCGATTTATGCAGCATGATGGTTGACCTGATATCAGGATGTAAGACTTGCAGAAATTTGCTGACAAAGAAAACATCATCTAGATGACTATTATGGACTAACACTTTATGCATGGCAAGATTAAACCTATCATAATATTCCTGAACATTAGAGGTTTGTTTGATGCTAAGTAGCTCTTGCATGGAATTGTGATATAAATCATTGCCAAATTTGGATTCGACAGTAATGCACAATTCTACCCAATTATCCACACGGTGTTGTGCTTCATAAGTTTGTAACCATAATGTAGCAATGCCTTTAAAATGGATGGTGGCAAAAGGGGCCCAACGGTGTACATGATCATTGAACATATCAAAGTATTTCTCGGCATTTTCTTTCCATACTTTAGGATGAGAGCCATCAAACTTAGGAAATTTAGCCTTGGGTAAACAAAATTCACGAGTAGGAGGAGCATGATAATACTGAATCAAATCAGAGGACACTGGGACAGTGGAAGTGGAAGTTGTGTACTAACCCTTGGCTAGGGGTTGAGGAAGGACAACGGACTTAGCCTCAGACCCCTATGGTGGTTGAGCAACGCCGTGGCCTATGGCCCGCCCCTCTTCCTCACGTGTTGGGACCGATGGCGGAGCGGTGTTCGCTTCCAACGCCTCCACACGTGATGTCAGGGTCTTGAGGTCTTTGCTGAGCTCCATGGAGAAGTGGTCGACCTCGAGACGCCAACGATTGAAGGTCTCCATGAGCAGCCACATGGACTTCATCTGCGCACCGAGCGCATCGATCTTCTCTTCGGCGGTCGCCATGCGGGAGGTGAGGGTTTGGGGTTTGGGTTTGCGCGCCAGTGGAAGGGGAGGCGGAGGCGGTGGTGGTGGTGGCGGATCGACCGGAGGTGGTGGTGGTGGTGGCGGATTGATCGTAGGTGGTGATGGTGGTGATGGATCGACCGACACAAGGGAGAAGCGGATCGGCAGGATGGAAATCGAGTTTGTGCTGGTGGATTATGGTGATGGTGGTTGGGGAAGGTGGTGGCTGATGGTTTGAGTGGCGGCGGCGACGGTGGTGGTGGATTGAATCGCGTTCAACCACAAAGCGTCTCTGGATTCAACCGCGGGCAGCGGGATTTTATGAATCCAAGATCGGCAACGGGTTGGTAGGCTCTTGATACCAAATGTTACGGGCAAGATAGTTTGGAGAGGTGTGCCGGCGTGCACGCGCGGCGGTGGAGCACGACGGCGCCATCTCGCAGCAGAGAGCACGGGAGGAAGACGATAGAAGGAAAGATAAAATGGTTTTTGTTATTGCTTAGCTACCCGTCCATCCACCCACATAGCTATATGAATTTAGTTCACAACATAGCAAACAGGTCAAAGCCCAATATTACACCTTTGCGGTTTACATGCCGACTTAAAGGCCCATTAGTTAGTGTAGCCCAGTACCCATATGCACAGCACAATGCCGATCCGTGACACCTTTGCTCGTCAACCGGGGGGAGAGAGGGGCAGTTATCACTTTGCCCGCCCACACTCCCGCGCGCCATTTGGAAGTTGTCACCACTCACCAACCACCCCGTCCATCGCTTCCCTTCTCAGCCGCCGTTTCGGGCAACAGGACGCAGGCCGGACGCAGGCCTACACCACGTCCTGGAGATCAAACGATCGACCGGGCCGTGGCCAACCACGCCGCGATCTCCAGGCGCATGGCCATGTCATCGTCGTCGCCGCCGCCGCCGCCGCCGCTTTCTCTTCTTCTCTGCGTGTCGCTTCTGCTCTCCTCTACGGTGCAGCAACCGCCTTCCACCCAGGCCCAGCAGCAAGCAGTGCAAGCCCCCGACCCGTCCTTCATGTTCGGCTGGCTCAACAACAAGTGGGCGTACACCGCCGGCGACACCGCGGTCATCCAGGTCATGTCCCTGGACCTCCGTGCCGCCGCCGCCGTCCGCGCCTCGCTGTCCTTCACGTTTTCGGTGAACGGCAAGGAAGGCAACAGCAGGTACGTCACCGACGTGGCCGCCAACATCGGCGCCGACCCGAACGCCTGGACCGTCTCCTTCGTGCCCCTGCGCGCCGGGAACTTCGCCGCGCTCGTTGGCGAGAAGCGGTTCGTCGCCGCGGAGTGGCCGCTCACGTTCACGGTCGCCGCGGCCGGCGTGCACCCGTCCGCGTCGCGGGCGTCGTGGACGTTCCCCGGCCGGCGCGTCGTCGCCGGGTCCAGGGCGTTCGTGTCCATCGCCCCCCGGGACGCCTTCGGCAACGGCATCGCGCGCGGACCCGACATGCCTGGCTACTTCAGGGTGTGGGTCTCCTACCTCAACGGGTCGGCCGTGGAGCTCTGGGATTTTCACTACAATGGGTGGACGGAGGATGGACGCATCGGCGTCGAGTTCAGGTCGAATGTTGCAGGCGACTTGTTGGTGCATGTTTACGGGGATGACAGGGAGCTACGTGATTCGCCTCTAATGCTCACCGTGAATCCAGGTTAGACAAGTACTCCTATATGTACTTGATTGAATACTCAAAAATAACTTGTGAACGGCTTAATTTGTGCTTTCAATTTAATGTGGAAATGTCAATAATTCGTAGCATCAATTTAATGTGCGAGCGCATAACCAGTGATGATTTCTTATTACAAAAGCATAGAAATAGAAATAAAGTTTGTGTTTATCTTCTAATGGACAGATAGATATGTTGTAGGAAGATATGCATTTTTGTGGAAATGTCAATAATTCGTCGATGTATATTTTACATATACCAGGTGTCCTTAACATAGCAGTAAGCACATGCAGCTGGAAGCATGGAATCAATACTTTGCAGCTGTCTTCCAAGCTGGAGATGTTCATATATCAGAGAGACTCCTTTGGAAATACTGTTCTGGATATCCATCCATTCGATGCTCAAGTAGTTGATAAAGCCTCAAATTTGTCCATCCCAATAGTAGATCTCGCGATGGAAGCAGTAGGTGATGGAGTGCAGCTCCTATCTTTTAATGTTGTAGAGGCTGGACAATTTTTTCTCACAGTTTTTGATGCTCAACTGGACGAAAGGGTTTCCAACACTGTGCATATGTTTGATGTTTTTGTAGGTATGCAACTTATTCTCTTTAGTTTGCTCATCAAGATGCTCGATTCCTGATCATGTCTGGTTTTGCTATGTTGCTACTTTCAGGATATTGTGATGGATCAAACAGTTTTGCAAATGGGTCTGGTTTGTCAAATTCTATTGCTGGCTCAGCGTCATCCTTTTCTGTTTTCTTGTTGGATCACTACAGAATCCCTTCTCCAGTTGAAACTGCAAGGCTGCAAGTGAAGATTTTGGGTAAAAATGCCACATCCTACGCAGACCCAATCATAACACCTGCAAGAGAACCAAATGGTAAGTATGTTCATTTAGCGGTTTAGCCTTCTATTAACCTTAATTTTTTTAAAAAAAAGGATCCATTTTTAATGAATCCTAAAATTCTTTTTGACTTGAATGTTGAATAAATTCACTGAGACGATATCTAATGAAGGAGAAAATTCTATCAATTCAGGACCTGCTGGCCACCAGGAGGCAAGTACCCTATTCTTCTGCTTAATTTTAGTTGGTACAGATAAGTGGCATGATCACTGAAATTCTATATGTTATTAGATCATTGCTGGGAATTCAAATGTGCAAACCAGTAAATTTAATGTTTCATATACTCCCCGAATTGCTGGCGAATATGAAATTTGGGTACTGTGCGGGAACATAGTGCTAAATGGTGGAAATCCATATGCCATGACAGTTTTACCAGGTCTGATTACCTTTCTTATGTGCCTTTTTTATCAATATTTTCACATTCATGTAATGCATGAATTCACTATCATATATTAATGCAATTGTAATTCTTGCATTCTGAACGCTGGTGCTATTTCACTTGTAATGTACGTAGTATGATGATCCAAATGGATTATATTCAAGTGAAACATCAAATAAATTGAAAGTTGAAATGATTCATAATTTTCATGAATTCCAACGAGAATTTCTTCAGTGATTAGAATAAAGGACGATTACCTTAAAATGAGCCGACTATTTATGCCACTCGCATACAGTCAACTAATGAGCAGCTTCTGTCTGATACAGATTGACCTCTAACTTCCTGTACCATAACCTGCCCTTTTTATAGGAGCGATCAATATGTCTTTATCAAGTGTTGTCAAGTTTGACCCCAAAGTAAAATTATCAGTTGAAAATGAAGTTGTTGTTCGACTTGTTGACTCATTCATGAACCCGGTAGTGTCTTTCAAGTCAAAATTGAAATTTCAGTTGATATCTGCAAGTATCACAAGTACCACTAGTTTTGTGGCAAAAGAATTTGTTGACAACGGAGATGGATCATATACTGCTCGTTATATGGCAAGGGGTCTTGGTTCATATGGCATATGTGTTCTTTATGAGGACAAACAGCTGACTCCATGTCCATTCGACGTCACCGTTCTTGCAGGTAATTTTTCAGTCGATCTGAAAGGTTCAACACATAAAAGAAAAGAAATTGGTCACATGAGAGAGAGAGAATTTTTTTTGAAAGCAAGTCACATGAGATAGTTAAGCTCTAGTTGGCAGAAGATTAATTGTCTCGTTATATACTGATGAAATATTTTGACCATTCCCGATTTCTCTGCTTGTTTGTCGAGTAACTCTGATGAACTGTATCTCTCTTTGCAGATGAATACTTTTCAGATGTTAAAAATGATACTGTTTCAGTGTGGGAGGATGAATCCATTTCCTTTGATGTATTGTCAAATGACCGCATTGCAGGAAGTAAAGTGGAAATAGCTAACTCATCTTCTGTAAGTTAATGCCATGAAATATGTGATTCTTAATTTTTCCACCTCATAGTGATGATCTCTTCTCTTTGCTATACCTGTCGTCAACCCTTGCAGCTGCACATGCCAACCATCTTAACTGAGTTTTGGCAATATCATTGTTGAACAGTTTTACTACACGTCGCTTCGAAAACAAAGGAACTTGTGGCAGCAAAACATTATATTGCAACTGATTTCAATTTATAATACTATCCTTGAATACTTTGACCGAAGACACATGCCAGTTCTTTTCTTCTTTTAGATAATGGAAAGTCAATTCTGGCCTCTAGCTACATCTTGGCAATGCACACAGCCGGTCTTTATGACAAATGTTCAGCATAAAACTGATGTCAAATAGGAAATAGGAAGCTATAACATGAATAAAAATCTCAAGCATTGCAAGATTAGAAACAAATATCAAGCATAATGTACCCTAATACAAAATTTCCTATGGGGTACTTATTACTTTATTTTCTCATTATTTCACATTCATTAATATCCCTTTTCTCTGAAGCCACTTCATGGGTCAGTCCTGCAGTCCAGCAAAACCTACCGTTACACACCTTTCGAAGGATTCTTTGGGAATGACTCATTCACGTATACAATATGTGATGAGCATAACAATGTCGTCACTGCAACAGTCTTCATATCTGTTCTCTGCAGACCACCTCAGTTCATATCTTTACCCGACAAGTTGCATGTTACTGAAGATACAATCAGCCCACTATTTGGGTAAGCCATAATCTCTTCTACCTAAGTATTGCATACTTGTACATATTATTATTCTTAATTAGCTCTAAGCGTAAAGTTTGACCTCTTTTGTTCTCTTTCTAATGTAATCAAATATGTGTATGTTTTTGGCAGTGGATTTCCAGGGATGAAAATGGTGTATTCAGATACAACTGAAAATATATCTGTTACAGTGACAGCACAGTCCGGGAGTGTGTTTTTTGACCCAGTGCGAATTAAACTTCAACAGCTATCAGATGATGTACTTTCAATTGACAGCAGAGGTAGAGGTGGCAAAGACCTGATGTTACAAGGAACGATAGAAGTGGTAAATGATGCACTACAGTTTCTACTGTACAGTGGGTACTAATCAAGATTCTGACTCTCCCTGGTCTTGAACAAGCCCTATATATGTTTTACAAAGATCTTGCTAGTCCTTTGCGGCGGTGCGATGCGCTTGTATTCATCTCAATCCACGTGTGTTGAAGTGGATTGGAGTGGAATTAAACTAAATTCCATTCCATTCCACTCCAACACATGTGGATTGAGGTGGATACACATGCATCCAAACAAGGCATGCATATGGTAACCATGCATATCAATATGTGCAGAAACGAAGACTTCCACGGAAACGATGTTATATCTCTACATGCCTCGAGCAGAAATGGTGTACGAAGAACTCAGTTCCCAACCTTCGTTGAGCCAATCAATGATCCTCCGGTGATACTTGCTCCAAGTTCAATTTTCTTAAGTGGGAACCAATCAATGGAAGGACATAAAATATTTGATAAGCACAGGGATACATTTCAATTTTCCATTGTTGAACCTGATCTTCACAATTTCCCAGGTATTATATATGAATTTATATATGATATGCATGAATATATAGACTGTTCATGGTGTTGTTTATGCACTATACGAAAAAACATTCACTGATGTAGACTAACAGATTTTATCTTGCAGGGAACAAGTCTTCCTTTTTTCTAGTGCTGTCGCTAGAAGTCTTGGAGGGAACGTTAACCACCACCTTGCCGTCCAGTGCCATCGCCACTGCATCGATGAAGACTGAAGGCGTTAACGGTTGGCAGACGCTTCAGACATATGTGACCATCGCGAATCACTTCGTACTGAAAGGAACTGCCATCAGGTTCCGTGGGAGCGTCCAGGACTGCAACAATGCAATGCAGCAGTTGCATTACCAAGTAAATCCTGAATCCTCAGATTAGACATCAGTTGTTCGTTTTGTCACATTTCTTGCCCTTTTTTTACAGTAGTTAGATATGACTTTCTCTTACAGGATCCAAGGCATGGAACAACGTTGTCCATCACTGTGAACGACCAGGGAAACCATGGATGCTATCCTGACTGTTCAGAGAGAATGACGATGCCACTTACCACTGCCAAGACTATTCGTCTAGTGCCAGTCATCAAAACAAAACATGTGAACTCAATGCGAACTATCTGTAAGTACAAGAACTGGTGATATTCCTGGGCATAAAACTGAAATTACATATAGTGTGGAGCTCATTTTGATTCTGTGCTGCGATTATTTTCAGTGTTTAGATGGTTGGCTGCAGCTGGGATCGTGATAATGCTATGCCTTGGCTGTGTTCTCATGTGTTGCCTATGCAAATGCATGAGAGCTTTAAAGAGTCAGCGAAGATACAAAATCTATGGTAAAATTCGCACAACGGAGCAAACCCCATTTCGTCAGCATGTGAGCATGTTACTCTCTGAAACTTCCATATAGCAAGCAGGGTGGTCTGAACAGCCATCATTTTGACCTTTTGACGTTCTTTCTGATAGTTCGTTTTTCTGTTTTTTTTTGTTCTTCTGGAAAAAGATGGGTGCTTCACCATCGCAATGCGCGGACGCTGGATATTGCCCTGCTACTGCAACTGTGCCCCAGCTTGGTGCAAACAGATCAACTCTTCGTCAGAGGTAAGCAATGTTATTCGTTATGACTTCACATGTTTCTGTCGTGAATTTTAGCGTCAACACAACACAGAACTCCAAATGCTGCAATTTGCAAGTGGTTCAGCGTGCATAAGCAAAACCAGATAAATTTTAACAAAGTAATCCAAAACCATCGTCAGCTAAGAATCAAAACATTATATTTTCTATGTTTTGAAATCACACGAGTCCCCTAATTGCCATTGTTCTCGATATTCCAGGTCCCCACGTTCATGCAAGCAAGAACTGGAACTCCAGCCAGTCTCTGGGACCATAAACAATAGAAATGAAGATAGCCTTCCTGTTACAGACAAGGACAAATAGGCATTTTATAATTTACCCGTTGCCCGAACCCAAGCTATCTTCTGCTCATCCCAAAAACTTGTCAGATGCCACTGAACGAGTTTTCAGTGTAATAGGAGTGCAACAAAGAGTGTAGCAGAATGTGAATAAAATGGGGGAAACGAAATGGGTTGCGTGTAACTGTTTTATTGACAGCCATTACAAATTGTTAGGGTTTCATGGGAACACAAGCATGCGGCCTTCTCAATCTCAGATGCTTCCTTTCTCAATCTCAGATCTTCCTTTTTCTTGTAAACGGCAGACAGAAGATTCATCATACAGGCAAAATAGTTGATCAGCTACTTACATGACTGACATTTCCGTGGCAAGTCAGGAGAATGACTGCTAACTCGTTGCTTGGTCTGCTGGATTGATGCATGATCTGGTGCTTCATTCATATAACGCAAGTGAATGCAGCAGCAAGTCCACAATCCCGACACGTGGTCTCGCACAGAAACCATAATGAGGTACTACGGCTTCGCTCTCCACTGAAATACAGAGTGAACTAGGAGGTACTGAACAGGCTTGCTGGGACCTAGAACATGGAATGTCCAAATCATTACCCCAATTCAATAATTTAATATATCAGCATTCGTTCCCATAATAACTGTTAGAAAAAACACGAAAACTATGACAATAGTTACGTTATTTGACAAGCCAAGTGAATTCCGTAGAGGAAGATTCAAACTACCTTCGCATTGTGTGGCATGATTTTTATGTCATGAGGTGGATGAAGCCAAGATTCAGGGGCATATGATAAGAAGTTCTCAAGCTTGCTCGTGTAAATATCGGCGTATTGATGAATGTGATAGGCAAATGATGATTCCCTTCCAGTGTCTGTAAGAAATGTTGCACCAAAAGAGCTATTGAACAAATCTCGCATCCCAGATCGGCATTGTCGTCTTTCTGCATTCAACTCATCGAGCAATGCTCTATAGACTTGGCCTTTCTCGGTGCTAACCACAGTTGTGTTGAATTTCCCAAGTAGATCATGTATTATACTCAATTTTGCCTGCAATGCAAGATATATCGAGTAAATTGGTCAGCATCCATGTGGATGAAATTCATGAACTAACAAACTGCATATGTGATGAGAGGAACCAATCATATGTATCAAATACAAAAGGTAAATGCCATCAGTGTATCTGTAGATCAATTCATGGCAACTGATTGCCCGTGTCATGTTTTAGATTTTGCATACCAGGAGGATAGAGCCTATGATGTACCAACCCCAGTGCCGTACAGCATTTCACAAAAGAAATAACAGCAGCTGATAGGCAGCGGTCCTCTGTGTCTCGTCGATCGGAGGTTGTAGCTGTGGGAGATTGGTGGGCGAGGTTTGAACGTCGCGCGGCGGCGGGGCGCCGTGGTCGCGCGAGTTCAGGCGAACAGGAGGAGGCGGCGGCTAGGGTTTAGGTCTCCCGGCTCCCTTTAGGAAGCCGGAAACAATCTGTTTCTGCTTGATCTCCAATAATCCTGATTACAAGTATTTATGCTAATGAATAATCCTTTTGCTAATTAACCCCTTGGGTTATTTGCTAATAATATAAATCACGAAATAAATACTATGGCTTATTAGCCACTAACTTGGCGCCTGGAGTACTGCAGGCCGGTCATAACAGCAGCAAGAAGTGCCTACAGACTGAGTCGCCTGAACCAAACCCTGCAAGTAGACGGTGAGCCTTTCGAAGTGTACGGCCAAAAGTACAGCATGAGCAGTTTCCTTCTTGCAGTCCCAATCTTAAGAGTAGATATTTGTTACCACCTCTGGATCCAAAATTCTTGTCTTTTTGGACAACAACATGTCTCCGAAACATTTGAGAGATATTGGTAGTAAAAGTTCTAAAAGCTCGTCCAAAACAACAAGAACTAAGAAACTGGAATACAAACTTAGCTGGGTACACTTCCGTTAGAAGTGCCAGCTAAGTGTAAGGGGGACAAAAGTAAAATATTAGGATATCATAAACATGACAAGCAGATGATATACCTGTTGGAATCGATAGTTGTCAGCTGTTTTGGATTTCTATTTCATCCTGAAGTGACAAAGCATGGAACATTGTCAAATCGTACAAAATATATTGTATGAAAAAAATGGTGTGATGAAGTCAAGAAAATTCCAAAAGAGAAATCTTAAGGTCTTAAAAAAACAAATACAGGTGTGTTCATGTTCTCTAGTAGCATATCCAACATATTCAAGATCAACATAACATAAGAGACTACTATTTTGAACATTTCAATACATTTCTCTTTATTTTGATCTATTCTCAACTCAAAACTTCTTTGGTACCAACACTCCAATAGGATCAAGGTAACCTTAGATTGAGATATTCTAGTCAATAGGTGAAATATGAAAATGCTAAAGCAATGGTGCTTGAATTTCATACAACAATGCCTCATGTGTGTAAAATTATATCTCCAGTAGAAAGAAAAGCATCTACCTCAAGTTCTCGAATTACAGCAGCTGTTCGCCAACCAGCTTTTGAAGGTCCTCTCAAGTCACTCAAAAGATGGTCACCAAAATATATCACCTAATACATAGTCCCAAAAAAATGAGATGAGAAATTCGAATGAAAATTTTCTGAAATTTAGATTTGGGCAGTCCATGTTTGTGTGAGCAAAAAGATCAGCCAAATTTATATATTCAGTCATCAGGTTACTCCAATATACTATATCAGAATATAGCAATAAGCAAGAAACATAATCAACATTCAGCAGATGAGCACAGGGCATGCAATTTTTTTACTACTAGCTTCCACGATGCAAATGGTATTATCAACTATATTGATTTATATAACTTGAAAAAAAATACAGTACAGAATTAAGGGAGAGAAAAAAGAGTGAAAGCTGTATCACTCGGACAGAAGACAATTGAGAATACAGAAATTGATTCTTCTTTAAGTTCCAAATAACCAACCTCTGGGCCTCTCCATTTTGTGATCTGCAGAAATGATTTCAAACAGCCATTGTAGTATACTTGATCTGGCAGAAACTTGTCAACTGCAGTAAAAGCTAAGGTGTCCTTTTGAGTGTCATACACCCTACAATACAAGTAACCATAAAAATAGTTAGGAACCCAGGATTGAAGCAGATGTAATAGTGCTATAAAAGGAAAAAATACAATAACTGGTGGCAATATAAATCCAGGTACTTAAGCGCCTGTACTTATTAACACTACTTTCCATTAATATTCAAAGTTTAGCAACAGAACTACACAGATGCATCAGTGCAAAAAAGAAAATTAATAATAACAATAACATCTTAGCAAGAAGGATCCAAAGTAATATTTTCTGGTTAGTAACACATAGATGCTCCACAGAACCTGAACGGGTGATCTGAGTTATAGAAAGTTGGTTTATTTGCCTGAGCAATCACAACATCAAACAGTTCCTCCAGGAATTTCCATCAAAATGTTGGTCCTGCCCAACCAAATAGTGAAATAGTCATGCAGAGAATATGTGAGTAAGCAAAAATATGTTTCATAATACGCTGACATGAATACATGATGCATTCTATTTGGAATAACTCACCAAGAAAATTACAAGAAAGACACAAAATTAATAATCAAAAGAGTGTCATTTGTACTCCATACTAATGTCCCCTGTGTAGTGGTAGTATACAACAAACTCTTAATAGATGCTAGAAACAAAGGAAGGATGTATTATGTATATGCTAAATGTTCACTTTAAGCATCAAGAATATGTGTCAAGGGCTCAAGGCCAGTGCATGAATGGCTGGCATGTGTCAAGTTAAAACATGATTTCATATTCTCAAATCAAACAGGTAACCCTTAAAGAAAAGATATACAAGGTCAAGATGGACCTCAGAAAATAAGAAAAAAGATTATATCGAAAAATATATATGTTATTCATGAACCAAATAGAAATCTGTTGTGGTTCAAAATCTTGCCTTTAGATGCTAAACAATATTGACAAACATACAAGCAGATTTAAATTTAGAAACAAAACCTCTAGCAAATAACGCATCCCTCCATCTACAAAGTAGAAAGGTGAATTAGTAAGAAGAAATAGCCTTTTCCCTTTCTCTTTAAGCATCTTCAAGAAACGGAACACCTGGCTCTGCAGGTCACAGGTGAGGCAACAGTCTTAGAGATAACATATCAGAAAGAATGTCAGAAACAAGAAGCAGCATAAGGTTAGATCATTGATATTTAAAACTTCAGATTAAAAAAATCAATAAAAGTGTGCCACCTACTTTTTTTATCAGAAATTTCTGAGGCTCAGAAAGAATTTGCCGGTGAATTAAACCACTTCTGTGAACATGCTGAATCGATTGGTTTACATCCTCGTATACGTAAGATGGATCAAACTCCAGTTTTGCATCTATAAAGTGCTGAACAATATCAGCAATCAGACATGCCTGTGAAGAAATGATCATCCCATAGTTAGAATTAGAATGTATTATGGCGGGAAATAAAAAAGAAGTACCACTCGGGTCATATTTCCAGAGGAAGTGCATATAGATCCACCTTTCTTTTGTTTCTAGGTCATAGATTAGTTCACTTCCCCTTCTAATTCAATAGCCCTTTTCCAAGTTTCTTGTATCACTTTTGGTTTCTATTTTGGTTAGCACTACCAGAGACAGGTATGGAATCGTGGAAGAGTTGGGTTCATTTCCTTTTACAACTGATATGGTCACAAAGAAAGTCAGTTTAGTTGCACGGTATGATCTCAGAGAAATTACTTAAATTAAAAACAGTACATGATACTAAATTCAGTACATAATAGCTCTAGTTACTATTATGTGGCATTGTCTATAAGTGCAAAACATCGCTCCACATGGCAGGTCAGAACTACATGCATAGCTACATGCCCTTGAAGAATGATCTAATACGCATAAAGTTGATATATGAAAACAGAACATATAAAATCTAATTAACTTTTGAACAAAGCATTAACCATACTGGGTGATAATATGGTGGTCCAGTTGACATGCCTATAAGGCAACTGATAGCTTACTATTCTGTAAGTAAAACGACACAGAGTAAAAAGAAAAGAATACAACTAAGGCTCAGATGAATCCAAGTGTACCTCACTAAAACAGAAGACATCCATCAGCCCAACAAGGTGATGAGCTTGATCTCTGCCAATATGACGTGTGCCATAGAGCTCTTTTATCTCACTCAAACTCAGCTGATTAACAAGCATTAAGGTAAGAAATTGTATTAATAGGATGTCAATAGACATATTTTTACATAATGTAATTATTGTTGGAGGAGACAAAGAAAAAGCATAAAAATATCTCATAGAAATTCTTTAAACTATCAACATGTGTAATCTATGTTCAGATGTATTTAACTAAATACACCAGCCAAAGTTTAAGTTCAACAGTTAATAAACAACAGACAGAGTGATTGCTCATGAGAAGAGAACCTACATATTTACATATCAATATCCCAAATATGTAACTAATGCATAAACCAAAAAACAGTCAGCATAGACAAACTTCTAAATATAGTATGACAAGAAACTCAAGTATGCATGAGCTAGTCTTGCAAGTTGGATGCAACCGTTTGAGAAAAGAATGGATAAAACAATGAAGTTTGAGATCAACAGACAACCACTGTCAGACAATCTATCACATTGTGTGAGCCTAAATGTTTACATATGAATTAACCCAATAATAATGGCGTAAACCAGACAACATCATAAAAAACAAGGCTAACAAACTTCTCAATATATATCTTGTAAAGGAACTAAAGCATGCATATTTATTTAAGTAGAGAGCATATTACCCTCTGCCGCCCAAAGAAGCAACCATCTGGTTCAATAGAGCCGAAGAAATCAAGCTTGAGAAGGCACCCTTTAAGTCTGTCATAGTACAGACCCCTGATGGGGAAGGTGCGGTCATACTCGTACTGCAGGCAACTCTCAGGATACTTCAACTGCAGAAAACATCAGGTCCGCTCAGAAACCACAAGCGCAGCATTCTGTCATCCATGCAAATGATGCGATGACACCCAAGGAAAAGAGAGGAAGCAAACCTCATTGACCAAGTGCATTTTGGCAAGATCGTAGATGAGGCACTGTAGGTGGTCGGAGTAGTGCGACAGCGTGTAGTCGTAGTCGAAGCCGTAGACCTGGAGGTCGTCCAACTTGACGTTCTTGTTGACGTAAATGCCTGAAACCAGCGACAGCGTCCCAGGCCAGCAATGTAAGGCCAGCAATGTTCCAGCAATGTTAATAGTCTGAAGAACCGATCTGTTAAGCAAGACGGATAGGAGGATAGGGAAGCGAATGCGCAATCGAAATTGGTTTTCCCAACCTTGCGGGTTCATCTTGGGCATGTCCTTGATGGCGGCGGGGATGCTGAGGTAGTTGCGCTTGGCGTTCTCGAACTCGCGGCGGATGCGCTCGATCTCGTCCTCGCCGGCGCCGGACCGCAGCGTGGTGGAGAGCGCGCGCAGGCCTGTAGGGAGAAAACCACACCCCCAAAGTCAAGAGAGACGCAGTCAGCAGTCAGCAGTCAGCAATCAACCCCACCCCCGCAGCGGCATTCCGTCGAACGGCTCGAGTGCAACAACCTCGCGAGGACCGCAGCGCCGTCGCAGAGAGCGCCGGCGACAGGAGACCGTAGCGGTCGAGGAGGCGGAGGCGAAGGCGAGCCAACGCCATCGGGGGACCTGCCTCGGTTTGTCGGTATGTCGGTCGGCCGCCGGCGTGAAGAGAGAGGGGGACGCGGGAGGCGGCTGTTTTTCCTAGGCGCCGACGGGGAAAGGTCGCGCTCGTAGTTGCACGGGACAAGGCTGACACACCGGGCCAGCTGCGGCACGTGTCCTGTCTCTGACGTGTGGGGCCACATGTACGTCCCGCCCAGCGGAGCTCGTGGGCTGGTGGGGTCGCGTGGCCTCTTTTGCGCGATCCACGAGGCCTTGCACTGCCGTGACCACGCAAGTAGGGGCCACCGGGCCAGTGGCGCACGGCGTCCATGACAAAAAGGAGGCGCTGGGGTAACAAACTCCTCGTGTTGGTTGGGGTAAACCTGGCGGTCCATCTCGATCTCAGCCCAAACGCTGGGCTCCCAATTGTGTGCCATTGGTGCAGATCGCGCAAGTTCCCCGTTCTCCGTTCTCCCGTCTGCCCATCTGCGTTAGGTGCGTATTCGATGGACTCGGACGCCACACATCACGTCTTGGAGTTCAGGGGCGGCCGCTTCAGGCCCGCAAAATGAAGAGCCTCGTTTAATTAACACGTTTTTATTAATTATAAAAAGAATAGGAGTGTTACACCAACGTATGCGAGCGTCGAATAGGTAGCAAGTAGTAACCCGTCAATCACCTAAACGCATACCCACACAAAGAGAAGTACAGTGTGATTTACGGTAAAACGATTTCGCAACTAGCAGGAAGATCGTCCTATCTATGCGGCGTGCATGGCGACCCCACGCGGACGCGATCTCCGTGGGAAAAGTACCCGCATCGCCTCCTGCTTGGCCGGAATGAGGGAATGAGATCGCCTGACTTCACCCCTCTCGACGTATGGCTGCAGTCACGGAAATCCGACTGTCCGTTCGCATCCAACGGCGAGACGCGGGACGCTTCCACTAGCAGGCCACGCGAGTAGTCCAGCCCATCGAGGCCCACCAATCCACCAACAGAGCACACGCATTCTTCTCTAAAAAAAATCAAAACAGAGCACACGCATACGCATCTCCCCATGGGCGACGACTCCGTCGGCGACTCGTCCTTTTCCTCCGCCGCCGCCTTCCTCGTCGATCCACCCTGAGGTGCCGCGATCTGCGAGGTCACGCATCCGCCTTCCTCGTCTCTCGTCACCTCGGCACTCAGGCGGCGGCGTGCCAGGTGGTGCCGCTCCCCAGGCAGGTGCTTTTTTTTTGGGGGGCGTGTTCCTTGCTCGTTGCCAGCATCAAGATGCCATGAAGTTCGCCTGATTGTTGAAGATTTGTGTTTTCTTGTGCTCAGGCCGCATCGCTTTTCCTACGTGCGCCTGAAGCATTGTCGAGGTGGAGCCCCTGATATGCAGATGCAGAGTCCAAGGAATTTTCAGCAGGTTGCAATCAGAGCAGTTTTCAGAACAAGTGTTTCAACTGGGAACATCAAGATGCCATGCATGAAGTGGTCGTGCTTGGATTGTTGAAGATTTGTGTTTTGTACATTGTGTACCGACTGTGCAGGACATTAGATTGGAAACCATGAAGGCTGCCAGGACCAATTTGAAAAGTCAAACTGAAATTGATTGCTTGAATGTTATGATGATACTGGAATATAGAAAAGGCATTGTTGATTTTGAAAGTTCAAGAGGCTGCATAAAAATGTCCTTGTACAACAACTTAAAGTATCAAGTACATATGAGGCTGCAAGAGAAAATGTGAACTTGCTGAACTACTTTGTTTCACCTATTCCAAACCAAAAGCTATACAATTCCATGTTGCACATATCTAAAGGTCATCAATCTGCAAAACATATACCAGCAGACCAAACATCGAAAAGCACCACCCTGACGGAGGAAATCAGCATTAAGATCAGGGCAGGCCTATGCCACCGATCGATCAGTTGAGGTAACAAACCAGCAATGAAACCCAGGCCACAGCGAGACCAGCCGTGCTGTATTCACGACCGAACGGCTGCCTCTCCTCATTGCTGCGTCACGGAAGGCGTCATCGTTCCCAGATGCTACTACTCGTTGCCGGCGCATCAGGTGCATTCCTCACCTGGAACGGCAAATTCTGTGGCTGCTGTCCGTCGCGCGCTGCTGGGCAGAGGATGTGCTGCGGCCGAGCTTGGTGGTGCTGATGCCAACGTTCCCCTCAGATGAGATGGCGCGGTGCCTCGCCGCCGCAACGACGGCAACGGGCTCCAGCTGTGGAGGGTCCAGGGGACCGGAGAGCCACCGAACTGTGCCCTTTGAGGCCTGGAGCCAATGTGCGCGGGAGGGCATCCATGGGCCCCGGTGTAGCAATCTGTGACTGTAAATGCGATTTGATTTGGCGAGGGCACCACGGCGTCACAGCCGTGTAAGCATTGTGCTTTGTACAGGAAGCATACTAGCGTCAGCAAATTATGCAGGAAATTGAAGTTTGGAGGGAGCAAATGTTGTTTTATTGGACATTATAAAGAGATTGCAGACTATAGATTTCGCTGCTTTTTAAAACCCGTGAGCACTTTTGGGCCGTTAGGCCCAGGTGTTAAGCGAAGGATGGACAACGAATGAGTCTGGTGGAGCTGGTCGTTGTTTGTGATTCGATTGAAACGGAGGTTGGACAGGCTCGATTGTATTTTAAAAAGTCGCTGCCCCTGACTGCAGCTTGGCCGGGGATACGAGGAGGCAAAAGTCGTCTGGGCCTGATCAGGGTCAGGGAGCTCCGGTCGCAGTCGTCATCCAACATCGACTCCAAGAAACCGTGAATCCGGCTGCCAGGACCAAAAAAGAAAAAGTCAAAGAAACATTATTCCTATCTTTTTTTTATGACATAAGTTTGGATCACACAAACAAAGCTCGCCAATCCTATGTGAAGGACAGCATTTCTTTTTACAAAACACACGAATCAAAATATCCACTCCAACAACTTAAATTTTTCGCGGAAGCCCGAAACATGTGCGTGCCAAGAGAAAATGGTGGTTGTTGGTTCTTGCATTCCAAACACTACTTCCTGTTTCTCACTTCATTCCAACTCCAATCATGTGTTTCCTCTCGTTCCTTTGTTCCAACCAGGGCCGTAATGGTGTGGTGCTAGCGTTTTGAACATATACCAGCAATTGAACATCGAGATGTACCACCAATTGACGGAGGAGCTGATCACGGGATATGCTAGGAATGCAGGGCAGGTGCCATGTCTGCCACCGATCGATCAGTCCTCTTGAGCAACAGCGTCACCCAGGCCAGGCGAGACCAGCCGTGCGTGTATTCACGACACGAACGTAAATCCAATCCTGCAATCAAACGCGACGGAAACCCGCAGCAGTAAGCAGCCAAGGTTGGAGTCATGCATCATCATCGCTACGTGGATGCTCTCTTCAAAGAATCGAAGTCGAACAAATTCTGTGCCAGGGAGTCATGGCGCGCGCATCTGGGCAGAGGATAGGTAGGTGCGGCCGCATGCAGCAGCTGACTGCTGCGTCGTTGAGACTTGAGAGCAGCACGGTGGCGCGGTGCCTCGCCGCCAGCAAAGACCGGACAAAGGGTTACGACGACGGCCCAGGGTCCAGGGGGACTTGTGTTGTGTATAGCTACGACACCGTGCCGCTTTAATTTGACACACCCAATGTGCGCGTGGAGGGCATGCATGGCCCCGGTGTATCGCTGTGTGCGGCGGCGAAAAGCGATTTGAATTGGCGAGGGCACACCACGGCGTCTATAAGCCTACTATTGACGATCGTACATATCCGTACGGGTCGGCGCACGGCTTACTCCCTCAGTCCCGTAATATTTGCACGTATACGATTTGAAGTTTTTCCCAAAATAAGAGACAACATGACGTGTGGGACCAAAGCAACACATTAGGCCAAGACAATACAATAGTATTAAGTTACGGCAGCAACAATAAAGGAAAAAGAAAAACCCCAGCACATGTACTGCCAAGGAAGACGTGAAATTATGAAAATGCGCTCTGTAAATATCAAGGCCGATACTCATCCCCACTCGCACGGACGCACCGTTCCCCCGCGCCGCGCTCTAGCACAGTTTCCTCGCCATTGCCGACTGCGTGCTTCTCGTGGGTCATCGCACTGGCCGTGCCGTGCCGCCGTCGGGCTGGCCGCGCGCGAGCCTTGCCTGCTGCCCTGGACGCCGTCGGGCCCGAGATCCAGCAGCCTGGACGCGCCGACGAGCCCGAGATTCGGACCGAGCCGTCACCGGCCGCCGGCTCCGCCCGCCCTGGCCGTGATGAACGTCGCCGACTCCCTTGTGGTGTGGAGCGCGAGAGGTTCGGGAGTCTTCAATAGGGAACAGCCGCGGGGTTGGAAGAAGACGGCAACGACGAGGCCTCACAGACCCGTCGTGACGGCCGCGTGCCGCCCGGCTGGGTGCGCCAAGCCCCCACGGGCAGGAAGAGGACAGAACCGAGCCGGACGGAGGCGGTCAGGGAGAGAGAGAATATGGCCGTAGAGAGAAACGAGTGGACGAGAAATTCCTCTTTTTTTAATGGTGTGGCCAGCGTTCCCAACGACTTTTTGAAGTCATCAGCGAAGGTCATTTTTGGGACGGAGAGAGTACCCCTGGCTGCATTCCATAAGGCTCTCGGCCACTCACGTGAATGCCCTTTGCCGTCACTACACATGTGCCAGTGATGTCAACTGTACACCTTATCAGGGGTAGAATGGTAATTTCTCAGCTACAATAATTTCTCCCTTTGATGGTGCGTAACAGTTGGCAGCACGTAGAAGCCCCAGATCACAGTGCTTCCCTCCACTCAAAATAAGCTCTTATTTTATATGGAAAAAGTGAAACCAAAAAAAACAAATCATGCATGGCTTCACCGACTGTTGCCCTCATCGAGAGCCAAAGCTTCTACCGTGGTGCCTATATAACGGAAATGGTTCGTGATATTCACTTAGAAGCCCCTCGATTCAGTGAAGCCCGGCCAAAATAATCATTCTTCTTTGCGGTTGCTTTAAAATTTCCAATCAGGACGGCCCTCATCGAGTAACCGTGAGTAC